ATACAACAATGTTCCGTCTACGAACAGGACACTGCAGGTTCAACTAACACATGCATAAAATAAAGATTGTACAGTCCCCGCAATGTGCCTGCCAGACAGGAGCACAAACACCCCAGCACATTCTGCAGACCTGTCCACTCTACCTGCAACTTCGAAAAGACACCTGGCCTCAAGAGCAAAGTGTGCAGAGCAAGCTATGGGGCAACCATAGAGGCAACCCACCTGATGGTCTCATCTAAGCATACGAAACTGAACGCAAAGAAGAAGAAGAAGAAGACATCCTCATAGACTAACAGGCACTCGGTGGGTGATGTGGCCAACTTTACTTCCCAGGATATAATCTGGTACCCATTTAAGGCTGGGTCGACTAGGAGCAAATGTCATTTCTGAATTTCAAAAAAGTCCAGCTCCGTTCGGATTTGAACCCATGATCTTCGCATCCGCAGGTAGCGTCTAGCTGCTACACCACAGTGGCTCCCAAAGACACAGGACATATTTTTAAAGGACATGCAATTAAATGTTGCTAAAAGCTGGCCAGTTCACCATCGATGTTGCCAGCGCCGTGTTTTCACGCATCGATGTTGCCAGCGCCGTGTTTTCATGAATACACCACTCTTCCCTTGTGTTTTTCGGGGCCCCATGGGTTAGGGGGGTGGGGGGTGGGTACACACCTACTCCCCTTTACAGAGTGAAATTGCGCATACTTTACAAGACGTTGTAGAACCAACACTAGTATTTTGTTGGCTGTTGTGGTTTCTCTAGGCAAATCTTACGTCTAATAGTCCGCCACTTGATAATTCAACGGTCAGCTCTCGGTACCATGGACGAGACCAACGCAAGCCAGACTGTCCGCAGCTGGGACGGAACCCGGCACCCCGGCAATACGAAGCACGTTCGCAACGCCTAAGCTACAAACGCCGAACCCCTCAACAAGCATAACGTGAAAGGCGACTAACTAAAGGTTTGATGAAAGGTGCATATACCCCCAACACAGAAAGGTGCATATACCCAACACAGAAAGGTGCATATACCCAACACAGAAAGGTGCATATACCCAACACAGAAAGGTGCATATACCCAACACAGAAAGGTGCATATACCCAACACAGAAAGGTGCATATACCCAACACAGAAAGGTGCATATACCCAACACAGAAAGGTGCATATACCCAACACAGAAAGGTCCATATACCCAACACAGAAAGGTGCATATACCAACACAGAAAGGTGCATATACCCAACACAGAAAGGTGCATATACCCAACACAGAAAGGTGCATATACCCAACACAGAAAGGTGCATATACCCAACACAGAAAGGTGCATATACCCCCAACACAGAAAGGTGCATATACCCAACACAGAAAGGTGCATATACCCAACACAGAAAGGTGCATATACCCAACACAGAAAGGTGCATATACCCAACACAGAAAGGTGCATATACCCAACACAGAAAGGTGCATATACCCAACACAGAAAGGTGCATATACCCAACACAGAAAGGTGCATATACCCCCAACACAGAAAGGTGCATATACCCAACACAGAAAGGTGCATATATACCCAACACAGAAAGGTGCATATACCCAACACAGAAAGGTGCATATACCCAACACAGAAAGGTGCATATACCCAACACAGAAAGGTGCATATACCCAACGCAGAAAGGTGCATATACCCAACACAGAAAGGTGCATATACCCAACACAGAAAGGTGCATATATCCAACACAGAAAGGTGCATATACCCAACACAATGTCTTAACCCTGCTTTGAAGGGTGATAGAAGAAGAAGGAGAAGGATGAGAACAAGATGACGAGGCGGAAGATGAAGAAGAAGATGTTGATAATGACGAAATGAAGAATGTGATGATGATGATGATAAAGATCACGAAGCGAACGATAAAGATGATAATGATGAGATGCAGAAGAAGAAGAAGAAGAAGAAGAAGAAGAAGAAGAAGAAGAAGAAGAAGAAGAAGAAGAAGAAGAAGAAGAAGAAGAAGAAGAAGAAGAAGAAGAGAATGATGATGACAGCGATGATAGGAAAACATAATAACAATAATAATATGAATAAGTAATGAAGAGATGAAGAAGAAGACGGTGGTAAAGAATGAGGAGGATAAAATGACAGCCTCTCGCCATCTTCCCGTGTAACATTACAAGACACTGAAACTCTCATAGTAATAATGAATAAAAACAACACTGAGTCGATTTATGTTACAGAAGGTATTCGTTTGAATCTTTGCCACAACCGGTGCAAGCGCATTCGCCTGTACTCCACGCAGCAGGGTTGTGACCCGGGAGCTCAAGTAAGGGGCGGGAGGGAGGTGGGGTGGGGAGGGAGGTGGGGTGGGGGGCTAAGTGGTCCTTGAACTATACATACTCTTTTCTCTCTCTCTTTAAAAAAAATTATATATATATTTGTTTACAAATTTCATACCATAACACAGTGTTTGCCAAACATTTCTTAGTCATGGCACAATTTTTCAATTAATTTTTTTCACGGCGCCCTAAAATAAGTAAAAGTATTCGAATATTTCGCGGCGTCCCTGTGAAGATGTCGCGGCTCCCCGGGGCACAGTTTGGGAATCACTGCATTAAAGACCTTTGGCGACGTCTTCAGGCATATAGGGCTAGATCTCTCTCTCTTTGAAAAAAATATTTGTATACACATTTCATACAACAAGTAAAGGTACTTTTCCCACCTCTTTAGGCATATCGGGCTAGAAATAAATTTAACAGACCAATCGGTACTCGGTGACTGGTGTGGTCAGCATCACCCCCGGCCGCCTTTACTTTCCGGGACTTACTTGGTTAAGGCTGACATGACCTGGGAGCCAATCATTTTGGAAAAAACGTCCGGCTCCGCTAGGACTGAACCCAGGACCTTCGGATCCACAAGCGAGAGTCTAGCCGCTACAACACAGCGGCTCTCCATAATTTGCATATCACTCCAATTATTTTATTTATCTACCATTTCGCACATAATAATAATGTTATATTATTAGTACTCTTGAGCCAGGCTTTAGGGGGCCCCCAAACCCTCTATGGCCCACACCTCGACGTTTTCTGTATGACGGCGACCCTACAAACACACTGACTGAGTCAAATATATTCATCACTATATATATAATATATAAAAATATAAATATATATATATATATAGCGAAAATATATTATAATATATATATATATATATATATATATATATATATATGATGATATATATATTGACTCATTTTGACTCAGTCAGTGTGTTTGTAGGGTCGCCGTCATACAGAAAACGTCGAGGTGTGGGCCATAGAGGGTTTGGGGGCCCCTAAAGCCTGGCTCAAGAGTTATGTACTAAATATATAACATTATTATTATGTGTATGAAATGGTGGATAGATAATAAAATAATTGGAGTGATATGCAAATTATGGAGAGCCGCTGTGTTTGTAGCGGGCTAGGACTCTCGCTTGTGGATCCGAAGGTCCTGGGTTCAGTCCTAGCGGAGCCGGACGTTTTTTTTTCCAAAATGATTGGCTCCCAGGTCTATGTCAGCCTTAACCAAGTAAGTCCCGGAAAGTAACGGCGGCCGGGGGTGATGCTGACCACACCAAGTCACCGGGAGGTGTACCGATTGGTCTGTTAAATTTTCTTCTATCCCGATATGCCTATAAAGAGGTGGGATAAAAGTACCTTTACTTGTTGTATGAAATGTGTATACGACAAATATTTTTTTCAAGGAGAGAGAGAGATCCTAGCCCTATATGCCTGAAGACGTCGCCAAAGGTCTTTAATGCAGTGATTCCCAAACTGTGCCCCCGGGGAGCCGCGACATCTTCACAGGGACGCCGCGAAATATTCGAATACTTTTACTTATTTTAGGGCGCCGTGAAAAAAATTAATTGAAAAATTGTAGGCCATGACTAAGAAATGTTTGGCAAACACTGTGTTATTTGGTATGAAATTTGTAAACAAATATATATATAATTTTTTTTAAGAGAGAGAGAAAAGAGTATGTATAGTTCAAGGACCACTTAGCCCCCCACACCCCACCTCCCTCCCCACCCCACCTCCCTCCCGCCCCTTACTTTGAGCTCCCGGGTCACAACCCTGCGGCGTGGAGTACAGTACGAAGGCGTACTTGCGCTGCACCGGTTGTGGCAAAAGATTCAAAAACGAATACCTTCTGTAACAATAATCGACTCAGTGTTGTTTTTATTCATTATTACTATGAGAGTTTCAGTGTCTTGTAATGTTACACGGGAAGATGGCGAGAGGCTGTCATTTTATCCTCCTCATTCTTTACCACCGTACATTCTTCTTCAATCTCTTACATTACTTATTCCATTATTATTGTTATTATGTTTTCCTATCATCGCTGTCATCATCATTCTCTCTTATTCTTCTTCTTCTCTTCTTCTTCTTCTTCTTCTTCTCTTCTTCTTCCTTATTTCTTCTTCGTTCTTCTTTCTTCTTCTTGCTTCTTCTTCTGCATCTCATCATTATCATCTTTATCGTTCGCTTCGTGATCTGTTTATCATCATCATCATCACATTCTTCATTTCGTATCATTATCAACATCTTCTTCTTTCATCTTCCGCCTCGTCATCTTGTTCTCATCCTTCTCCTTCTTCTTCTATCACCCTTCAAAAGCGGGGTAAGACATTGTGTTGGTATATGCACCTTTCTGTGTTGGATATATGCACCTTTCTGTGTTGGGTATATGCACCTTTCTGTGTTGGGTATATGCACCTTTCTGCGTTGGGTATATGCACCTTTCTGTATGTTGGGTATATGCACCTTTCTGTGTTGGGTATGTATGCACCTTTCTGTGTTTGGGTATATGCACCTTTCTGTGTTGGGTATATGCCACCTTTCTGTGTTGGGTATTATGCACCTTTCTGTGGTTGGGGGGTATATGCACCTTTCTGTGTTGGGTATATGCACCTTTCTGTGATTGGGTATATGAACCTTTCTGTGTGTTGGGGGGTTATATGCACCTTTGCTGTGTTGGGTTTATGCACCTTTCTGTGTTGGGTATATGCACCTGTTTTTCTGTGTTGGGTATATGCACCTTTCTGTGTTGGGTATATGCAACCTTTCTGTGTTGGGGGTATATGCACTTTCTGTGTTGGGTATATGCACCTTTCTGTGTGTTGGGTATATGCACCTTTCTGTGTATGGGTATATGCACCTTTTCTGGGTTGGGTATATGCACCCTTTCTGTGTTGGGTATATGCCACCTTTCTGTGTATTGGGTATATGGACCTTTCTGTGTTTGGGTATATGCACCTTTCTGTGTTGGGTATATGGGGGGCCCCACCTTTCTGGTTGTTGGTATATGCATGCCTTTCTGTGTTGGGTATATGCACCTTTCTGTGGTTGGGTATATGACACCTTCTGTGTTGGGTATATGCACCTTTCTGTGTTTGGGTAAATGCACCTTTCTGTTTTGGTATATGTGCACCTTTCTGTGTTGGGGGGGTATATGCACCTTTCATCAAACCTTTAGTTAGTCGCCTTTCACGTTTATGCTTGTTGAGGGGTTCGGCGTTTGTAGCTTTAGGCGTTTGCGAACGTGCTTCGTATTGCCGGGGTGCCGGGTGCGTTCCGTCCCCGCTGCGGACAGTTCTGGCTTGCGTTGGTCTCGTCCATGGTTACCGAGAGCTGACCGTTGAATTATCAAGTGGGCGGACTATTGACGTTAAGATTTGCCTAGAGAAACCACAACAGCCAACAAAATACTAGTGTTGGTTTCTACAAACGTCTTGTTAAAGTATGCGCAATTTCACTCTGTAAAGGGGAGGTAGGTGTGTACCCCCCCCCCCACCCCCCTAACCCATGGGCCTATATACCCGAAAAACACAAGGGAAGAGTGGTGTACACGGCCATGGCAAACATCGATGCGTAAAAACACGCTTTGCGCTGGCAACATCGATGCGTGAACTGGTCCAAACAACAAAGGCGCCTGGCAACATCGATTACAATAGATGAAACTGGCCCAGGCTTTTAGCAACATTTAATTGCATGTCCTTTAAAAATATGTTTCCTGTGTCCTTGGGGGGAAGCCACTGTGGTGTAGCAGCTAGACGCTTACCTGCGGATGCGAAGATTCATGGGGTTTTTCAAATCCGAACGGAGCTGGACTTTTTTGAAATTCAGAAATGACATTTTGCTCCCTAGTCGACCAGCCTTTAATTGGTACCAGATTATATCCTGGGAAGTAAAGTTGGGCCACATCACCCAACCGAGTGCCTGTTTAGTCTATGAGGATGTCTTCTTCGTCTTCCTTCTTTGCGTTCAGTTTCGTATGCTTAGATGGAGACCATCAGGTTGGGTTGCCTCTATGGTTTGCCCCATAGCTTGCTCTGCACACTTTGCTCTTGAGGCCAGGTGTCTTTTCGAAGTTTGCAGGTAGAGTGGACAGATGTCTGCAGAATGTGATGCCGGGGTGTTTTGTGGCTCCTGTCTGGGCAGGCACATTTGCTGTTGGGTACTGTACAAATCTTTATTTTATGATGCATGTGTTAGTTGAACCTGCAGTGTCTGTTTCGTAGACGGAACATTGTTGTCAATTTGCTTTTCTGTTGAGTCTGCTGATGGGGTCTTTGGTGGATGTTTACTGTTAGTTTGTTCTCTCCACAGTCCCTTGTATTTTCCCTTTAAGGATAAGTGTTCTGATTTCTGGTAATGACAATGAATGGGCTTGTTGCTTTTCTCCTTTGTTCCATTTTTTTGCAAGTCGGTCTGCTAACTCATTTTCCTGGCAGATATGCCGCAGTAGTGAGCCGGGATCCACTTGGAGAACGATTTGATTGTTTTCTGGAGTCTGCTCAGCTGACGGGTCAGTTCTCTTTCCATGTTGTCTCGTGGATCCTTATGAGTCGCCTGGAAGGACTGATATGCAGCCACAAAGGAAAACCAATTTTGTCTGTTTTTAATTTTTCTTTCCTAGAGCACTTTGGCTGAATCAATAAATATGAGGATGTGAGATTACACTGAGGGGAAAAAATCACTTCTGTACTTTTGCAGTCATAATTGGAAAGCAAACGATTGTGTACTCTGTCTAGAGAAGGCCGTCACTGAACAAGCTGCCGTGGTTTCCAGAAGCTGGAGTTACTGCTTACAAGGAGAGTATTTGTTCTGAAAGCGAAGGGCTGTTGAGCGAAAGCTTTCCCATTCCTATTTGCTGCTGCTCCATCAAGCTTGACGGGGAGTCTTTTGCTTCTGAACAACACCAGCCAAGTTCTCACCCCCCCCCCCCCCTCTCTCTCTCTCTCTCTCTGCTCTCTCTACTCTCTCTCTCTCTCTCTCTCTCTCTCTCTCTCTTGTAAACTGTGGCAACTCTTATAGAGAAGACAACCTGCCTCATTCGGCGGGTGGGGAACGTCTTTTACCTTTCTATGCACTTCTGCAGAAGAAAACTGGCGCAAGAAGCAGGGTCGCTGAAACACAGAGAAAACATTGGAGGTGCCCAGATAATATGGTCGCGGATGGGCTGTGGCGGGTGGTAGGTCTTCTTACAAATTCTCAAATGTGTGGAGTATGCTCAGTATGGTCTTATAGACCTGGTTATTAAACTGTATAACTAATAATAATATCTTTCTTCTTCTTCAGCGATCTCTGGTCATGCGCATAATCCACTGTGGGTCATCAAACTGGGATGTCTTTTCAAGGGTCTCTTAGGTTTCCCCAAAGCTTAGTTGTCAGTTCTACTGGGTGTTGCATATGTCGCTCCGCAGCTCCGCAGGAGAGGACAGTCTTGCAGGACATGTTCTGGAGTCTGTTCAGCACGAAGACCTGGCAGAGAGCTGTTTTGGGCTCATACCTAATTTTATATGAGTTGTGTTTATTGAGTCTGCAGTGTCCAGTGCGTAATGCGAAAAAACTGTGACTTGATCTGTTCTGTTCAAGTGCCTCAGAAAATCTGTTTCCGTAGTTATAACCAGTGTTGTTTTTCCATCTGTTTCTGATTTTCTCTTAATAAGAGTTTTTACATCTGGAAAAGATAGTGGCTGGTAGGTCTTGTAGTTTGTTACTGCCTTCCTTGGCTAAAGCATCTGCGCTTTCAATTGCCTTTGATGCCGCAGTGAGACGGAATCCACTGCAAGAGTGAATTTCTGCTTTATTTGACAACAAAGCAAGTTCCTGTGTTAGACTTTGTAGTGTGCTGTCGGTAGGTTTGGACTCAAAGGGGGCCTGTACAGCTGACAGTGAGTCAGTGAGAAAAAAAACACTATCCTGCCTGCGGTTGATTTGCAGATTGTTCATATACTGTGCTGCCATCAATAAGAGCTGAGAGTTCTGCTGCCCCCCTGTAGTTAGAGCAAGTTCGTCCGGTGGGGGGCTGCTAGGGACACAGTAGTGGCATCTGGGTGTTTTATGGTAAACACCTGCCCCACCATTCGTAGTTGCCTCTTTTGCTGATCCATCCGTTGTAGATTTCTGGTCCAGCTGTCCTGTGGGAACATGTTGTGTAAGGTGTTCCATTTGTGAGTGCTTTTCTTCACTAAAGCGGGCTCAGCATCTTTGTTTCCCCAGGTTCGGGATGAATGTTGACACATTGAGTGTCAATAATTCGGGAGTCCCAGAAATCGAGAAAGATAGGCTCTTCAGGTGTACATTGTTGGTTAAGTAGTGAAGACAGAATGACTTTCCAAATTCCTTCGTTAGGTGGTTTAGGCTTGTGCGCTTTATTCGGTTTTTTTTGGTCCTGGCTGCCGATTTTTCGTGTAATGGGTGGTTTAGCACATTCTCTTCATTTTTCAGCATGTAGAATTGCTTTTGTCCTTCTTCTTTCTTCTAAGGGGATGATGTTGGCTGCCTTTTCCCATTTCTACAAGGTGTAGATCTTTTATGGCATCCCAGAATTGTAGCGCAAATTTTATTTTTGCGTTTGTGTTCTAGATACTGTTGTGTATTTGGTAATAAAATTATCAATAAGCAGCAAAAAACCTCTGGGGCTCGGAATATAAAAAGAAGGAGGAGAAGAGAAAAAAGAAGAGCAAGGAAGAAGAAATAAAGAGAAGAGAAGAAGAAGGAAAAATAAGATAATGCAGAAGAAGAAGAAGTTCAAATACAGAAGAAGGGGAAAGAGGACCAAAAGGGAAGAAGAAGATAAAGAAATAGAAGCAAGGGAAAAAGGAAAAAACGAA